CCCATGAGGGCAAGGCATCCTCTGGGTTTCAAACAGCCCCAGGGCTGTGGTTGTCCAGGGCTCCATGGTGCCTTGGCCTTAGCCAAGCTTCCGGCACTGGGGTGGGCCTGGGCAGGGAAGGGCATAGATGTAGGGTAGGTCCCCAGCCCCAGGCGGCTTCTCCATCCACCCCTGCAGGGCCAGGCCGCCTGGCCAGTCGGCTCCTCCCTGGCCCCCCCCAAGTCTATTTTTAAAGCAATTTGTCTGTGGGCCCTTTGCAGGGGGCAGCTTCCCGGAGGCCAGCAGCCTGGTCCTGTAATTTGGGAAGATAGTGGGTGTTCCTGGAACTCAGGGGCAGCCCGTGGCCCACAGCCGGGGCACTCCGGCTCCCAGCTGGGTGGGGCCTGGCTCTGAAGTGGAATCAGGCAGCCAAGCCGCTGACCCTTCTCCCCACCCAGCTGTCCACTCACAGAGACTCCCAGCGACCCCACAGGGTCCGCCGCACAGGGTTTCTGAGGCTTGCATCACGACAGGAGCAGACTGCCACATCTTTCTCCCGAGGAGTGGCTGGTGGGTCCTGCCCCTCAGCCTTTCAGTTAGCAGTGCCACGCCCCACCCGCTATGCCACTAGGACTCCTCCCCACCCAAAACACAAACCTAAACTCACTGTCATCCAGGCGATTCCCACCACTGGCGACCCCACAGGACAAAGCAGACCTGCCCCTGCGGGTTTCTGAGACTATAAACCCTTAGGAGAGCAGAAAGCCTCATCTTTCTCCCGAGGAGCTGCTGATGGCTTTGAACCGCCGACTTTGTGAGCAGCACCCTCATGCATAACCCACTACACCACAGTGAGTTCCAAAGGCCACTCCAACCCCTCCCCAGCATGCTGGCCTGGATCCCTGCTTCAACAGGCTGCTTCTCAGACTGCCCTCTGGCCCAAATGCTGGACCCTTCAAGAGTCGGACTGATGTGCATGCCCCTGAGGGAGAATGGGGGGTGCCAGCCAGTTTCTTGCCTGCCACCAACAGGAGGCTAGGAGGTCCCGAAGTGGACAGAAGGTGCATTCTGTCCTCAAGAAACCTCAGCACCGTGCTTCACTCCCCCAACACTTCCCAACACTCCCCTTACTATCACCACCCCT